ATTGATTCAGTGAGTGGGATAATTGGGATGGGAGTGTCAGAGACAGTGCGATTGGCACAGGACAGAGCGGAGTTTAGGGCTGTTGTACATAGGGTTGCTATGAGTCACACGCGACTCGACGGCACATAACAACAAACAACAACATTAATACCACATGCAGGTAAAATCCTGCTGAAGAATATCCAGAAACAGCTCAAACAAGTATATTGACAGAGAACTGCCAGAAAATCAAGTTGGATTCAGAAGAGACTGACTTGGCTAAAAGCAGAGAATCCCCGAGGATGTCTATATGTGTTTTTATTGACCATGGAAGGGCATTTGACTGTTTAAATCATAAATTTTGGCTGATATTGAGAAGAGGGGGAATCTTGGAACACCTAATTATGCTCATGTTATCCAGTCTGTCTGAACTGAACAAAGGAATACTGCATGGTATAAAATGAAAAAAGATTTGCATCAGGGATGTATTCTTCATACCTATTAAATTTTTATGATGATTAAATTATTCCAGAAATCTCTTTTTCATGAAGAAGAATACAGCACCATGATTGGAGGAAGACACATCAACAAACAGATGGCATAACCTTGCTTGCTCAAACTGAGGAAGACTTAAAATACTTGCTGCAAGAGAACAAAGACTACAGCCTTAAATGTGGATTACATTGCAACATCAAGAAAACCAAAATCGGAGAGCCCTGGTGGCCTAGCGGCAAGAAGCTGTGCTGCAATACCAAAGGTGTGTGGTTTGAATCCACAAGTTGCTCTGCTGGAGAAGGAGGGGCAATCTCCTGTGCAGTCAGATCTGATTTGACAGTACACTAGAAGAAAATGGGAAAAAACCAAAACCAACCCAACCCATAATCATCACTGTTGGGTAATAGGTAAATCATGATAGATGGAGAAAAGATTGACGTTGCCAGCGATTTAATCTTTCTTGGATCTACAATCAACATGCTTGGTACCAGCAGTTAGGAATTGAAAAGATGTGTTACATTGGGAAGTCAGTCAAGGACCTCTCTAAAGTGCTAAAGAGCAGTGACACCAGTTTAAAAACAAAGGTTCATCTGATTCAAGCCATGGTATTTTTAATTGCTTACTATACATTAGAAGAATGGCAATCCCAGAATACTTGATTGTGGTTATGTGAAACCTATTCTTGGACCAGTAGGCAGTCGTGAAAACAGAGCAAGAAAACACTGTATGGTTCAAAATTGGTAAGGGTGTCCACCAGGGATGTATTCTGTCTCCATACCTTTTCAATCTAGATGAAGAACAGATCATCCAGGATGTTGGGCTATAGGAGGAATGTGGCATCAGGATTGGAGGAAGATTTATCTGCATTATGCAGATGACACGACCCTGCTTGCTGAAACTGAGGAGGACCTGAAGCACTTGGTGCAGAAGATCAAGGACTGCAGTGCAAGAAAACAAAGATTCTCACCACTGAGCCTATTGGGAACATTATGATAGATGGTAAAGAGGTTGAGATTATTAACAGCTTTAGTTTGCTTGGCTCCACAATCAACACTCTTGGTACCAGCAGCCAGGAAATCAGGAGTCTAACTGAACTGGGAAAGTTGGATGTCAGGGACCTTTCCAGAGTACTGAAGAGCAATGAGGGCAGTCTGGAGACTTAAGGTGCACCTGATCCAAGCCATAGTCTTCACAGTTGCTTGCTATGCATTAGAGAGTTGGACAATGACTAGGAATGATAGAAAGAGAATTGATGCCTTTGAGCTGTGGTGCTGTAGAAGAGTGTTGAAAATATCATGGACTACCAGGAGAACAAATTCACCCTAGAGAGAGTGAAGCGAGGCTGCTCCTTGGAGGCAAGGAGTCTGAGGCTTTGTCTGACATTCTTTGGTCATGTAGAAAGGAGAGACCAGTCCTTGGAGAGGGACATCATGCTTGGAAGGGCGGAGAGGTTAAGAAAGAGAGGGAGACCATTGATGAGATGGATTGATACATTGACTGGGGTAATGAGGGAGGGGTGTCAGAGGCATGAGTTGGCACAGGATAGAGCAGGTTTCAAGGCTGTTGTACATAGGATTACTGTGAGTCGTAAGTGACTCAGCGGCACATAACAACAACAGCAACAATAACATTTGAAAGTGGGACAGTGTCTAAGGGTGACAGAAGAAAAATAGTGCCTTTGAGCTGTGGTGTTAAGAGAACAGAATATCTCATGGACTGCCAAATGAACAAATAGGTATATCTTAGAGAAAATGCAACCGGAGTGCTCCTAAAAGGCAAGGATGGTAAAAGTTCCTCTCAGATAGTCTGGACAATCTTACGAGGAGGGCCTAGTCCTTGGAAAAAGTCATTATATTTGGAAAGGTGAAATTTCAGACCCTCCACTAGATGGATTAACATGTGACTGTCAGTGGGCTCAAGTGTACCAGAGACAATGAAGATAGTGCAGGATAGGCAGAGTTCAGATCCGTTCTTAGTGTTACTTAGTCATCATCAACTAGATGACACCTAACAACAACAACAACAATAACAATGTAGAACAAAACCAAAGGATTTCCAAGGCTGTAAGTCTTAAGCTTCATCTTTCTCCTATGTGTATGAAAGGACTTTTAAAAAATGGAACACCTCATAGCCATCTAGTTGAAAATGACTCATAACTGCCCTTCCAGTAGGTCAGTTGACCATCTTTCTCCCCTAGAGCAATTCCTGAAATTCCTTCCTTTGTGTGGCAGTATAGCTCTATAAGCTATCAGAGCTCCCTAAGAGGATACTATCTCCTATGAACATAAACTCTCTTGAAGAAAACCAGAGTCACATTGGCGACTAGGTTAAGAGGGAGCTTTTTTACAACCTGGTTTTTGGTACTTACTTAATTACTTAATTTTTTCTGCATTTAAATCATGCAAAAAATTTAAAATCATATATGGAAGAAAATTGGTAAGGAAATTCTAACTTTGCCTAACTCAGCCTCACTTTTAGGGTTTTAACCAAGAAGATTTGGAAGAAGAAAAAAGTGACCCGCATGTAAAAGAAGCAGAAGATTCAGATTCTGATGATAACATAAAGAGAGGAAAACAGTGAGTTTTTACGTAAAAAAAAAATTGTTAACGGTAACACGAAATATTAAGGTTAGGTGCTTTATATTTTATTTACTTCTTGGTTAAAGGTAAGGAAGATTCTGTTTCTGCTTTTCTGTATACAGTGTTATCACTGACCGAATTATTTGGTGTTCCTGTTATTCTTTAGTTTGCCTTCTGTGCAAATTAAGATAGCTTAATTTTGATAATTACATGCACCAGACTTAATTTATGAGTCACCAAGTAAGCACTTCTGAAAAGTAACCAAATTGAAAAAAAATATTCATGTATACATATACACACACACTTGTTTGGTTTTTATGGGGGTTTATTTTATTTGAGGGTTTTGGTGGTTTGTTTTTTGGGAGTTTCTAAGGAAAAAAACTTACTAGAGTGTGAGGGATAGATGTAAAGTCTTAGCTGTAAAATGTTATTTTATTTCCTTTTGTTAAATAGTTGGAGTGAGTCTTAGTTGGGGCTAATCTAGTAAGTGCCATACCAACAAAATGATTACTATTTACCTTTGTAGAATTGTTACTTTAAAAAAATTTAATGCTGGGAGCTCTGATTTGAAGCTGTGGTTTGAATCCACCAGATGCTCTGCTGGAGAAGGAGGAGCAACCTCCTCCTCTGCCAACTGGATCCAATTTGACGGTACACCACCACCACAACAAAAATTTCCCTCTGGGACTGTGGGTCTTAAATACCGTTCAAGCCTGGAATTGAATTCACTCCAGGAATCAACTTTCACAAAGTAATACATAGGCCTAAAAAATGAATAACACTAGGAGGCCTGTACTCAGTACATTTAACCATACAAGACCAAAAGAACAACATTTGCTCAGAAGACAGGAAAGGACAAGAAAGAAGCCTGAATGGAAACTGAGAACTCAGGGAGAAAATAGGATGTATATACTGAAGGAATTGCAACTGGTGTAACAAAGCAGAATGCATCAGTTACTGAATGGAAAACTAATTTGCTTTGTAAACATTCACCCAGATTACTCTTTCTAAAAAATGTGTGTATATGTGTGGATATAGATAGACAAGACACAGACAGACAAATACGATTCCTCTGTAGGATTCACTATCTCCAAATTGCATAAAAAGTCAACAGAAATAATTTTCTTTAATCCCAGAGATATGCAAAAATTAGTTGAGTTTAGCATTACCTTTGGAAATGGAGTTTATGATAGCAACAGTGAATTAACACCTCTAAGTCTGATGATTTTGATTGATAACCTTTGGTGTCATGATTTGAGGCACTTAGCAAGTTTATAGATTTATGTCTTTATCCCAGTTATCACTATCAATAAAAGTCTGATTTTAGTTTATGCATACGGTATAAAATAAAAACACTGCAGAGGTTATTTTTTCTTTTTACTTGAAAGTTTGTAAATTACAATGGTTTTCATTAATTCAGTTACGTACATTTTGTTTTATAACATTGTAATTTTGTTTTCTCATTCGTACACATTTTGTTTCATCATTAATTACATTGTTTGATCAACCCCTTATTATGTATTTATTACCTTTCTCATCACTCATCTATTTTTATTCCCCCTCACCTTGTTTCCTAGCCTGAATATTCTTCCAAGAATGATTCTGTGTGTGAACCTATACATAGCTTTTTATAATGTTGCTGTTAAGTACCATTGAATCAAGTATGATTCATAGTGAGCAACAGATCTCAACCTTGCCCTATCCTGTACCATCCTTTTTATAGTAGTATATTATTATAGTAATAGTAATATTAGTGTTATGTAATGGCTTATAGCTTTTTTTAACTCACGACCATTGAGTCAGAACTGATTCATAGCTGATCCTCTAGTGTCTATTTCTCCCATCAAGCTTTTGGTGAGTTCAGACCTGTCCTCGTTGGAGGGGCAGTGGAACTCTCTTACCACCTAAGCCAGACATTTGGGCAGCTAAGTCTGACTTCCAATAACTTTACAAGGGGTAACATTCCCAGTCCACAACATCTACAATATGATATTAATTTCTTTGCAATCAGACATGCCCCACATTCCCGCAACTACTTCTACCAAATCTACCACCACTTGATACCTCCACGGCTTTTGCTGCTCTGCTGCTGAGTCCACTGATCCATTACAGTGACCACACAAAACTCACAGATCATACTTAAAATTATGAATTTATTAGGGATGCTGACAAGTTAACACAGGTTATAATTCTTCAGTCAGGACAGCTTGTCAGATGTACTCCCATACCCTTTAACCTTCAGCCTTGCAGCTTTAGGCCATGGTACAAAGCTGTCTTTGTCCTGTCAGTTTTGCCCCACCCCTGTTTCACTGGCATTATGCTGTCCTATTACCACTTCTTCCTCCAGGAAGTTTGGGCAAAGGCCTCTGGCTCTTGATCTGGCTCTGAAGGGTAGCAGACTTTAGTCAGCTCTGTCAAACATCGTCTCTGGTTCTCTGCTGCAGCTCCTCTGCTGCTCTTATCTGGGTCCTAGTCTGAGTTGCATAGGTATCTCTGGTCCAAATAGACACACTGGACTCTTGATTATTCTTTCTTCCTGGTAGTGAGATTCCCATTTTCATTTCTGTTCTAAACTTGCTCCATTTAACCTAGCAGGATGACAAAACTGACTGATTCCCTCATTAGCAGTTTACACACTCTTGTTAGCGTGTTCACACCCAGAATTATCTTATTCATATTATTAATGTATGCCACTTGGCCATGTGGTGAAAATCAAAGCCAATAGCTTAGGAAAACCGTTTTTAATGATATCTACTGCATCACAGTGCTCTATATGCAGCGTGGAGCTCTGGTGGCCTAGTGACAAGAAGCTGTGCTGCAATCCTGACAGTTTGAATCTGACCATCTGCTCTGCGGGAGAAGGATGAATAGTCTCCTCCATGCAGTTAACTGCCTCTGAAAATCTGCCAGAGTGTCAGTTATAGGTTGGTTCCAACTCAAAGGTACACAAGTAGTTAATGGTGCTTTGGTGGTATAGTCTGTAGGGAGTTGTGCTGCTAATAAAAAGGCTGCACCTTGATGATTCATATCCACCAGCTGCTCCAAGCATCAAAAATGGATAATTTCCTCACGTGTGATTTACAGCCCTGGAAACCCATTGGAGGATCAGCTATAGTTGATTTCGGCTCAACAGTAATGAGCAGTAGAGTGAATAGTTAATGAGGCAGCTCTGGTTATCTAGTCAGTAGAGAGTTGTTCTGTTACTATAAAAAGTCAGCCTCAACTTCTTCTAATTAAAATCCACCAGCTGTTCCACAAGAGAAAGATGGAAAGTCTTCTGTGCTATTTATAGCCTCACAAAGCCAATATAGTTGCTTCCAACTCAGCAACAGTCAGTTTTGAGTTTAACTAATGATTTTGAGCTTTTCTGCAATGTTAAATCATCTGAATTCTCCTATCTTTATGTGTCCTCTACCCATTTTATAATTCTGTCATTTGTCTTTTTTGTCTTGAGATGTTGGTGTTTTTTATAAACTATAGGGGTCAGTCCCTTGTCAGATATGTCATTATCAAATAATTATTTCCATCTGTAAAGTTTCTTTTTTTAATACTTTGGAAAAATCTTTTTGATAAACATAAGAATTTAGTTTCTAGGAGGTTCCTTATATCTGATTTATCTTCTACTGTTTGTGCATTTTCATTTTTTATAATCGGTTGATAACATATTAGGGCTTGTAAATTTACTCCAGTTTTTTCTTTAATGATCTTTATAGTTTTAGGTTTTATGCCTTGATCTTTGATCCATTTTGAATTCTTTTTTTATATGGTTTGGGGTATGGATCTTGTTTACTTTTCTGCATAGATACCCACTTTTGATGGCACTATTCATTAAAGAGGCTATCTTTTCATTTGATAGATTCATCTCTTTGTCAAAGATCAGCTATCCATAGGTGGATGAATTTTTTCCTGGGTTCTCAGTTCTGTTACATTGTTCTGTGCATCTGTTGCTGTACCGGTACTGTACCATTTAAATTATAGTAGAAGTGTAGAACACTCAAATAATTGAACATTCTTCTATATAGAAATAGGCAGTGTGGCTAAAGTTGGCTTTTTACATTATTGCATCGTATCCCCTGGATGAAAGCTTACTCTGTTCTTTTTAAGCCACTGTATGCAAATATGAATACTATGTGAGAAAAGTCTAAAACTAGTAATGATTGATATCGAACAGTTGGAATAGTACAGAAATTGAACTTACGGTTTTTTAGAAGTTAAAGTGTAGGATCACTTGTTCTTTTAAAAACAAATTAGGGGTTCTTGAGATGCTCTTGGTCTCTGCATTTAGACAGGATGTAGTCAGTAGTATACTTTGGTCTTATAGACTTCACTTGAGCTTCAACTTGAACTTGCAACTGATGATCTGTTTTTCAATTAGCCCCTGGCTTTGTCTTAATTGATATGATAACATTGAGCTTTTCTATTGTCTAGACAATGAGACCAAATAGACTTGATGCACTGAACACTAATAATTCAAGACCATATATAAATATAAAAGATCATTAATTAGAGAAGAAGGAAAAGATCAAAATGGATGTCAGAAGTGACTTTGAGACTACTTCTTAAGCACAGAGTTGCTAGAGGGAAGGAAGTAAAAGAGCTGAATAGGTGTCAAAGGGCAACTCAAGCAGACAAAGTAAAGTTTTGTGATAACATTTACAGAGATACAGAATTAAAAATCAAAAGAGATAATAAACAATTAACATTTCTTCAACTGAAAACTGAAGATAAAATTTAAGCCTCAAACTGCATTACTGCAGGGTTTTGTAGACATAAATTTGAGTGATATTGTTAGGTGCCATTTAGTTGACTGCACCTCATTGCAACCCTGTGAACAACAGACTGTACCTGCCCTGTTCGGTGCCATTGCCATGATCTTTACCTTCTTCAAACCTTTTGTTGCAGTCCACTGTATCAGTCCCATCTTGCTGAGGATATACCTCTCTCTCTCTCTCTCTGACTCTCTACCTTTCCCAGAATGAAGTCTTTTTCCAAGGACT